TATATTCTTGTGTGTTTTTAGTATATTGAGTGCTCTCTCTCTGTGTTCTATAAGACATACACACACACACACATATATATATATATATATATATATATATGCAAAATGCATTGTATGCTGTATTTAGTTGAAGAGACATAACTCATCCAACAATGTGGGCTCAATAAAGGGAAATGTGTATTTAATGAGGTTAAATGTTTGGTATTATGTGACCAGAAGTAAATCCATATTGATAATAAGGTTAGCCTTACGTTATTGGTGTATAATAATTGTTTCTTTTAGCAGTATGTCGGCAGGAACAAATCTGGTAGTTCCTGTTGTGTTATGGGGCAAAACGGCCCCTACGCATTGTATATCGTGCGTTTTCCTGTCCCGTGATCAACGAACGTTGGTGACGGGCTGTTATGATGGGCAAATTTGCCTCTGGCAAGTCGATCCAGACACACTCAAGGTATGTTGGTATATAGGTTAGAACGTTAGATCAGGTGGTCCAGTGCCTTTTGATTTATGTTTTGCCGTGAAGTGACACAGTGCAAAAAGGTGAATATTCTTAAAATTCAATCTGCATCTTGCTTATCAGCTCCTGCATCACTCTTTATATTCAGTCACCACTTACTTAAATTCCTTTTGTTCATTACATCAAATTAATGATCCATGATTATTTATTATAAATTTCAAGTGTGTCATACTGGTGGGTCCATGTGTTTAATTCATTAAGCAGCACTCCATGAAGATGTGTGAAGAGTGAAGGTGTAGCTCCATCTTTCTTGATCTCAGCACTAGATGGAAGTGAGTGATAAGCTGGATACCCTAACCTTCCCAGGAAAAGGGCCTGCAGTACTCAACACATATGAGGCTGAGTGGTCCCCAGGCTGGGTCTGGATGCTGTGGAGAAGAAAATCTCTTTCCCCTGTCAAGAATCTAACCCCTTGGCTGTCCAGCCCATAGCCATTGGATTTTCAAAATGATCCATTTTGACTCATCATATTTGTGGGTTCCAGCACAAAATTTTGTTACTCTGCATGTTAGTTGTGTTTCTTTGATTTAATCATTACAGTTATTAACAGGGTTAAAAAATACACATCATAAATGCTTATTTCCTTCACATTATACTCCATCTGTGTATTAACTCATTACTCAGCCAACATAGTTTTTTCTTTTAACCTTCCCTGTTGATCAGTATAATACAGAAGTGTGGTGATACATTCTGCATAATAAATGGTGTTCAGATTTGTGCTTTAAAAGTAAAGATAAAGTCATGTTTGTACTTGGCACCATGCCTTAAATGTGGAAGAAACATGTAGAGAAAGCCCCATTGAACTCAGAGATCAGGAAGTAGTGGTGAATAGCATGATTCCAGATAAGTGCTTAATTGATGAAACTGTTCATTGTGTGTTTATTCTTGTATGTAGGTAGGCTGAAAAGTAATGCACACATGCTTGTAGAGCGCGAACGAAATGACCTTCAGAAGTGCGCCAGGTGGCATGTGGAAGTAACATTCCCCCTCAATAAGCCTGCGCAGGTTTGAGGTCGTTGCATTCATCCAGTGTATTTTGAGAAGCGGAAGTATGGAGATGTGTTCTAGTGCTATGTCAACGCGAGTTAAACAGTGTGCTGTTATTGAATTTTTAAGTGCTGAAAAGTGACTCCTACTGAGATTCATCATCGTTTAAAGGCTGTTTATGGTGACGATGCTGTTGATAGGTCTACTGTAAATCGATGGGTAATAAAATTTCGTGGTTGCCTGGAAAAGCCATAATTGTTGATGAAACACGCAGCGGACATCTGATCACTGCCACAGACGATAATCATTGCAAACTCGTCGACGATTTGATTCAAAATGACCGGCGAATCACTCAAAAGCGTATCACAAACCATATTGGAATATCCAAGGAACGTGTCAGCTTCATTATTGAACAGTTGGGATACCATAAAATCTGTGCACGATGGGTACCATGCCGTCTCACAGACGAGAACAAACAGCGTCGATTGGAATGCTGCGAGCAACTTTTGCAGTGCTACCATGACGAAGGAGATGACTTTCTTTTGAATATTGTGACGGGGGACGAGTCATGGGTCCATCGTTATGACCCGGAAGAGAAAAGACAGAGCGCTGAATATCGACATCCGTCTTCTCCTCAGGCGAAAAAGTTCAAAACACAACCATCCGCCAAAAAACTTTTTTGACCGTGTTTTGGGATGCTCACTGAGTTTATGTGACCGATTTTCTGGAACGAAGGACAACAGTAAATTCTTCTCAGTACATACAGACTCTAAAACAACTCTGGTGTCGAGTTTGTCGTGTTAGAGGCAGCCTGGCGCCAATAATATTGCAACATGACAACGCTTGTCCACACACCTCGTGCGCAACTGAAGAGGTTCTGTGAAACCTGAAGTTTGAACCGATTCAGCACCCTCCTTATTCCCCCGATCTTGCGCATTGCGATTTTTATTTTTTTCCTCTACTCAAGAGAGACCTTGGACGATGAGGTGAAGGCAGCTGTCAAGTCCTGGATTCGAGAAAAGTCAGAAGAATTTTTCAATGACGGAATGAAAAAACTTGTTACACATTGGGAGAAATGTGTTAGCCTTAACGGTGACTATGTTGAAAAATAAATATATGCTTTTGAAACTTAAGAATTGTACTTTAATGTACTTTTTGCCGGATCTTGCTATTTGTTTTTGTTCGCGCTCTACAAGCATGTGTGCATTACTTTTCAGCCTACCCATGTAATTCATAACCTTTTCCAGCAAACAACACTTACATATACATTTATTTATCATTTCATTGATCCAATCATGTCCCCGTAGAGCTGGATATAAAACATGTCACATATTACAAATTCATGATGACTACACATCATTCGTCCTTGGTCCAATAAAATATAAAATCAAGCCTGAGACAGATTAGCTCAAGTTGTCAGGACAACACACATAGGTCATGGAAAAACCACAATCAAATTCACACCTTGCTATTCCACACACACTGGCAAGCCATATCATCCAGACAGTTATATTATAAATATTAAAAATCATAACAAAAACAGACATCATACAACTACTACACTTACAACAAGCAAGTCTCAACACTGTATAATTCACGCACACTGACCATTTATTAACTCTTAACTTTTGAGCCACTTACATGCTCGACAAATTCATCAATAGAATGAAATGTGTTTTTTGCAAATAATTTCATAAACAAACCTAAATTGATTTTTATCATTTTTGGAACCATGATATTTGACAGCATAGTGTTAAATAGCTTGACCCCTGAATAATACACCCCTCTTTGATAAGATGATAAATGTGTTGAAGGTATATGAAGGTGGTCATTCCTTCTGGTACCAATCACATATAAAGAGTTATTGGTTTGAAATTTCTCCAAATTATTAACAACAAAGGTCATCAATGAGAGAAAATATACACATGGGATTGGTAGGATGTCAAGCTTTTTAAATAAATCTCTACATGTATGAGTTTGGCCCACTCCCATTATTATTATTATTATTTTCTTTTTTATAACAAAGAACTTGTGACTGTTTCATGTGTTTCCCCAATATATTATTCCATGTGTATGCTTATCAGTTTGAAGTAAATGGATCATTGAACGTAGTTTAGAGAAATTATATCTGAACTGTGATGTGTGAACTCCTTGGAGAGATGTGAAGATTCCATTGGGTGTACTAATGAACAAGTGTAATGACAGACATTTTTATGTCTGTATTATTTTAAGACAACTTCACAGGTGTGTGTGTGAATGCATGCGTGCGTGCACATGCACACGCACGCACGCTCGCTCACCCTCTCTCTCTCTCTCTCTCACTCACATACACAATTTTTAAGAAAATGTAAGTTTTCTCCAATTATACAGTTTCCCTAGGCTCCACACTTTTCAAAGGGAGGATAATTAATATAACTGGTGTAGTGGTTTTGATCTGTGTCTATAGTGGACAGAAGAAAGTGATTGTATGAAAGTTTGAGGCTCAGTTAAGGGGGATAATCTTAAAAATGTAGATATCATTGTAGAAAGAGGTTTATGTGTTCTGATTGTTCCAGAATTAGTTTGTAGTGTGCTGAAGTTTGGGAATTGGTTGTTTAGGCTAAATAGAACATCTTGAAAATCCAACTTAATTTGAGACTAGATAGCTAAAATTTATATAGTGACATATTTTAAGTAGATAAAGGCTCAAACTCAAATACTTTTACTTCTGATATGCTCCGTGCTTCGAACCCCATAGTTTCTGGTCCATTCTTGAGTGCTGCATTTACTAGATGGATTCTGATTATTCTTGCAAAATTGACATACATCTGGCTCAGAAAATATGCAGATGAGCTTATTGCTGTACATACACATTTTCTTTGATGCTTTTCATTTCACACAGACAGCTTTAGCTTTAGTTGCTCTGGTCTGTCCTTCTGTGATGCTGGCATTAGACAGTCATTATCAATGACAGTGATTGACCAAGAAACAGTTGTAAAATTGTAGTTTTGTATATTTGAATCTTCAGGCTTTAAATAGGGCACAGATTAATCCAGAAGTCTAAACTCAGTAATAATAAAAATTATCCCATCTGTAATCTACATTTACTTCCTTTGTGAATATTATTTGTATAGATGCTACTTGCATCTTCAGATCATTGGTTGTCATTATACTTGCAGATTTTTTATTGACTTTACTTTCTCAGATACATAGTATACATGAGGAAGTACTGTGGTCATGAGGGGGCAAGTGGTAGTGTAGTTCATTGAGGCACTATACTACAAGCTGGAAGGTTGCGGGTTCAAGTGCCGATAAGATTGTTGGATTTTTTCAATTGACCTAATCCTTCCAGGCGCACTATGGCCCTGGGGTCGACGCAGCCTCTAGGAGAAATGAGTATCAGGAATATTCTTGGGAGTAAAGGGCGGCCGGCAAGTAGGGCTGACAACCTTGCCACCATCTATGAGCCGATTGTTTAGAAAATGTGGGAACCTCAACATCTCACAACCCTATGGGCCCCCACGGCCTGTTGCAGGGTTACCTATACTTTACTTACTGTGGTCATGACAAAAATTTATCTTAAATTCATTAATTTTTCTGTATACATCCATAATCTTTCTGTTCTCTTTGTTTCAAGTTCAGTTATTTTGTCTTTCAGATACTTCCTCCATTTGTTGCTTCAGGTTAAACATTGTTCAGATTATCTTCACTCATTTGGCTTGGCTTCTGCAGTCACAATAGTTTAACCTGTTTCCTTTCTTGTACCAATTAAGCACTCTTTTCAGAATAATACTTGTTCTGCTTTAACATGTAAGATTGAGCACACTGTTTAGCCAAAGTTTTCTTTTTCTCTGTATAATTCTTTCCACAAATTCCATTGATATCCACACCCTTTAAGTCCCTAATTACAGAGGTCCCTTAATTTGGTACAGTACACACTATTGTTTGATATATTTTTCCATGTATGTGCTGTTTTTCTATATCGGCAAAATTACATTCATTTGTAGGATGCAGGGTTCTCACATCAGTGGTTCTAAAGAGTTCTGTCTTCTGGGGTATAACATGTGGCTTTGCTTACTGCCTGCTTCATGCTTGTTTCTTTCTTGGCTTACTCTTCATCCCTCCAAAACTGATTGGCTTTCACTGGACTACATAGCATTATGTTCCAGAAAATAGAACTCTTTAAGACATTCATCTGTCTCTTGGATGTCTTGTACTCAGACTTAGCTCATCAGCCTCTTTGAACTTAATGTTTATTTTTAATATTCCTATCTTTCTAACTGTTGCATTGGTTTACAGATGACTCCACGGTGTCTTCTTGTTGGTCACACTGCTCCAGTTCTGTGTTTATCCAAAGCTAGCATTGTATTGGATAATAATTTTATTGTTAGCTCATCAGAGAGTGGGTAAATTGATGCTTAAGTTGATATTTCTATTACTTTTTTATAAGAATGTGATAATTAGCATTATAGACTACTCTAAGAATAGTAAGAAAGGTAATATTATCACATCCAACATGCATATGATAAATATCGTTCTTATGTTGCCCCCTTTTCAAGGCGCTTCTTGATGTTGTAATTATCTATTTAAGTTCTTCTGGGGCATTTGGACACTAATGTTAGAGTATATGTTATATTTTGCTTAAAAATTTTCTCCACATCTACACTTCTAGTCAGGAAAAAATTAGTAAAAATATGAGGGTGAGATGAGGTGTAACCCTGTTTGGGCTTTGTGCAGGGTTTCGGTAAACCTACCCTTTTGCTTGTCAATGGTGATTGAAAGATCAAGACAGTGAATGGAAAAAAATCTTTGAATTTTGGCTTAATATTTATGTCTGCTTCTATTTTTATTTCTCTAGAATGTTTAGTGTTATCAAGTTGACTAGTTGCTAGTTTCCTTAGCATATGCTGAACTATCAGTACTAGCTGCTGCATTCCACAGCTGTACTAAACACTTGTGTATGTGTTTCCTTTGGAAGACATTCCATCACAAATATATATCTGTCATCAAGTGGCTTTGACTAAGGTAATCAGGTATTTTGTCTTGAAGCTATTATATTGGTGTGAACCATTTGTATCTTATTGACAGACTCACATGTCTACCTTGGGTAGGTGTTAATGTTAGGAAGAGGAGATGAATTAGAGATATGGTAGAGTGACAGTTTTTGTAAGTAAAATTATCCATTTTTGAGTAGCCATGTTCCCCACTCAGTGTAACAAATGATGTGGTGGATAGGTTGTGTAGTTGATTTTTCTCTTATGAGAATGGGATGTTAGTTTTTCAGGAGTTATTTGGCTCATTATAGGGACCATTGGTAGGCTCTTGTGAACACAGTAATTAACCTTTGGGTTCTGTAAAATGTGGGAAATTTCTTGTATGAAACTACATGACTCTTAGCTTATCAAGAAGGAGTATGTTCCAAGGAATTAGTTACAGAATGTTGTTGACAGTTTGCAAGAATGTGTGTTATCTTTCTGAGTACTGTTAATGCCTGTTGCCATTTCAGTGAAATGTGCACCTGGGACTTGGTGGATGGCAAATGTCGAGAAGTAGTGAAGCTACCATATATACACACCAGTATCCAGGTAATGCTGTTGTGAATTTTAGGTTTCTTAAGAACATAGTTCCTTCTTCCTTAATCCAATTTGTCAGTTGAATGTGCCTCTCCACTCTCTAATTCAGCTATGGATATGAGTACTACTTGTAGTAGTTAACTTATTGCTATTATACTTGTCATGAACATTATGGAGCATTGGAGTCTTGTATATTTTGGTCCTTTTAATTTACCATCTTCAGTACCTTAATAGTGGCTGTGAAGAAATGTAAGATCATTTGTGTCACTCAGTGTGCAGGGTCTGGAAGTTTCACATGGTGCTATAAAATAGTAAGAATTTATTAGTGCAATGTGTTAGTTAAATGAAAAATAAAATGACAGCTACAGACTGCATAGGAAACGTCTTTTCCATTATTGTGTGTTCTCTCATCAAGGAAACATGTCCACAGAGCTATTTTTGTAGCAATGGCCGTTGTACTGTCACCCATTAATACATTGGGTACTTGGAAATGGGTCTATGTGTATTGTTGCATGTTTCGTAGGTAACACGACAAGAAATTTTTGCGGGTTCTCAGATTTGAACGAATATTTATTGGACAATCACTCCTTATACTCACAAATACAATTGTTCACTTATAACATCCTTTAGACGTTTCTTCTTCAGTGTTAATTACTTGCCCCGCTGATCTTGGTGAAGTGTCTTCTGCTCTGCTCGGAGCTCAACTGTCCCTTGTCGGATACGAACTCACTCCTGCTAAAGTCGAATACAAACTCTGCTTGTCTCTTGCCGAATACAGACTGTTATATCTTGCACACGGACTGAATAGGGAATACCTTGTTGAAGGGACCGGTGGCATATTATTATGATTTTTGGACACATTATGTTGAAACACACTATACCTTGCACTGGCTCCAGGCAGACACATGACTGGTGTATGATATACCTCTTGAATGTTTGCTTCGTAGTCAGTAACATGCCCCTGCTGTTTATGACCAAAATGTTTTCCTTTCCCACTCCAAAAGAAAATGCCTTTGTTCATCTTCCAGCTACATGCATCGGGCAGGAAGTTACTAGTGTAAAATGGATGAAAGTCGGAAGAGGTTGAGGTCCAAGCGTTTTCTCGGAGAACAAGAAATATCTGATTTGTTCTCCGATGAGCTATCTGATGTCCCTTGTGAGTCTGCTAGTGATAGCGACTCACAATCTGATAGTGAGTGTCGCAGGGGCGAACAAAAAATTGTGATCACAGACAGTGAAAGTGAAAGTGACCGTAGATCCGACGAATTTGCGGGTAGCAACATTGCGGGGAAAGCCACATGGGGAAAAGTAGACAAAACGCCTGCTTTGGGACAGTTTACTGGAAATCCAGGGGTGAAGCAAATTCCATTGGACCCAACGTAAGTGTGTGAAGTAGCGGAACTGTTTTCTGGAGACAGTTTCTTTGACATGCTATGTCAGGAATCTAACAGATACTATCTCCAACACCGTGAACATTATGAGAGAAGTTATAAGGTGTTGAAGTGGGTGGATGCCACTTCAGCAGAAATTTTTTGCAATAATCTTTCTAATGGGCCATACAAGGAGGGATAATCTGAAAGAGTATTGGTCAACAGATCCATTTTTGGAAATTCCAATTTTCGGCAAACTAATGAGCCGTAAGAGATTTGAGCAAATTTGGTGGTGTTTGCATTTCAATGATAATGAACTGCAACCACAATCAACAAGCAGGCTTTTCAAAATTCAGCCCTTATTGACCTTTTTCTTTA